ATCTCAATAATTTTTATATTGATTGTATTTTGAAATTATAATATTTTGGATATTGTGTTAAATAAAAGATACCATTAAAATTAATTTTATCTCTTCATTAGACAATTTTAACTTCCATTGCTTCATATTTCTACTGGGCCACACTGATTCTAGAAGTTAAAGGAACTGCAAAGATGCTTCTTCCATGTTTCCCTTTCTTACAGAATCTTGATGAAAAGCAGCCGTATTGACTACAATTGATGGGGGAAGGTATAGCTGAATTTACAGGAAAGATGGATGTGCTGGAGTTTCAACTTGCTGACACCCAAATCAAGCTTCAGTCTATACAGAAAATAGCAAAGACCCAATTAATGGTGCTATTTGCTGGAAAGAGCATCATCATATTAACATCTTGTGCTTCCTTCAAAACACCTGGAGAGAGGAGGGCTTAAGGCAATTATTCCTATTGAATGAAAGCTGAAGAAGGTGAGGACCCCAAGTTAAAGTTTCAGAGAATTGACTTCACCCACAGTTCCTCCATTTCTTTGCCATTCAAAAGCACACATCAAAAATAAATCCTATGGGGGGTGGGGGGGTGCTTGAGTGGCTGAGTCCCTTAAGCATCCAACTCTTGATTTTGGCTCAGGGTTGTGAGATCGAGCCCCATGTGGGGCTCTGTGCTGGGCGTGGAGCCTGCTTAAGATTCTCTCTCTCCCTCTCCCTCTGCTCCTCCTCCCATCTCTCCCTCTCTCTGAAACACACAAATAAATAAAAAATAAAAATAAATCTTACACATATACAGGAGATTAAATCTTTAGGATACTCAGAGGAGAAGACCTCACGTGTTCCACCTTATATCTAAATAATTTTATTCAGCATCTTAATCCCCGTCCTGAGCCATGGAGCCTGGTATAGAGTGGGTGCTTAAGGATATTTGCTGAACTGAACTAAGCAACTAAAGCTTCGTACTAACTGAGAGCCAGGGTCCCATCAGCTGTTTATAGCAAGGAAACAAAGACACAGCTCCAGAAGTTGAGAAACAGAGTTACAGAAATTACCAGGAACGTGCCACAGCGATAACAACTAAGAAAGACTGAGTCAACCTTTTTCCAAACACCATATTGTTGCTCTAATTAACTGATGAGGATCTCGGTTTTTCTACTGGGTTGCGTAATAATCACCTCGCTAGCTCCATAATAGTAAAAAGAAGCCAGGTCTCTTTGCCATCTCTGCACTTGGCTTTGCATTCTTTTGTCCAAGCATTTCACACTTACAAAAAAAAAAAAAATCTATTTAAACTTTGCATTCTTTTTCTCCTAAATGGATCATGTGGGGACCGGGGTGGACCTCGGGGGCTTTCGGGAGGATAAGACCAATAACAGGAATTGCTAATGTGGTTTCTATTGAATGTCATGGATTCATTAGGTAGAATCATCTGATGAATCAAGAGTACTACATTTTTACTCCATTCATCTTTGTCTTTTGGATTGCAGGGTGACATTGCCCATAGTCCCACTTTGAGCGCCATGAGCAGCTGTGCTTAAAGCAGCTGGCCTCAGGGGCGAACACTGTCGTGCCTCAATTCTCATGAGCCCCTGCACTCACAATGCTGATCTCTTGCCTTGAAGTCGCTCTGAAGCTACGCCCCACAGAAGTGCCCTCGTTCCCCCCCAGAGAGGACAGGGACAAACCCCATCACTTGGAGATTGTCCTCGTCTCTCCACCACATACTCAGCAACCTGGATGCACCCAGCATGGTCTTTAACCATCACAAGGGTTATTATTTCTCCAGTGTCATGGGTTGAATAGGGCTACCTTTTGGGGCCCCCAAAAAGATATGTCTAAGTCCTAACCTCCAGAATCTGTGAATGTGATCTGATTTGGAAAAAGGGTCTCTACAGATATAATTAAGCCCACGATCTCAAGATGACATCATCCTGGATTTAGGATGACAGGTATCCTTATAAGAGAAAAGCAGAGGGAGCTGACACACAGGGAAGAAGGCATGTGAGGTGGAGGCAGAGATTGGAGGAATGCAGCTACAAGCTAAGGAATGCCACGGATTGCAGGCAGCCACCAGAAGCCCGGAGAGAGGCATGCAAGAGATTCTCGCTCATCGTGAACTTCCATAAGGAACCAGCCCTATTGACAGCTTGATTTTGAACTTCTAGCCTTCAAAACTGCCAGAGCATAAATTTCTGTTGTTTTAAGCCACTCGATTTGTGGTAATTTGTTACAGCAGTCCTGGGAAACGAATACATCAGGTAAAAAATGTTCAACAGAACCTGGGGACTAAATGAATCTGATAGTTTGCACAGAAAGGCTAGGAGCAAGTTTACCTTTGCAAAGTCTATGAGGAGCATAAGTTCTGCTCAGCAATTTGTGTTTTCCAAGAGACTAAACCTTCTCAAAGCCTCTCGAAGTCGCTCCAGGTATCCTTGCTACATTATTCATATTTATTCATGACGTCACTCTCCCCGTTCACAGCCACATACTTCTAGGGAATTCACCTCCTCCAAAGGCATCTGCCTTCGGGCTCCCCTGTGAGCCTCTGGAGAGCAGGTTTTGTTCTCAAGCTCCTCATGGCCCCAGCATCCAAGGCCATGTCCATCACAAACAGGAACTTGATAAATGTCTGCTGAGTGGACAAATGGAACCAACCCGTGACTTTAAATGTCCTCTTCATATTGAGCATAAATCGACCTCCCCCAAACCCCTGTGTCTCCATCCTAGCTCCATCCTGCAATACCGCCACCAGATGGGATTTGTCATGGTCAATAGGGCATCTGTGCATCAGACCTGCTCCCCGGGCCAGTTTGGCTAACAACCTTCATCACATAGACCCTTAGCTATTGAGCAAAGGCACCAAACACCCAGTGTTCTCCTCTACCTTTTTGCCCTTATAATGCTGCCCCTTCTTTGTTCAAATGCCTATTCCTTCCAATCTTAACTCAAATGCAATGACCTCTGGAAAGCTTTTCTGGATTTCCCTAAACAGTTTTACCTTCCTCCTCCATTGCATTATGGAAAACCCTTAGCATTGAACCCTAGTAGATTTCGATTGTTGCTGTGTTCTTTTTGGTGTTGGTCAAGGAGGTGGTGGGTATCGATATGACTGACTCTGCTGTGTCCTTCCCTTCATTATACCAATTATCCTGTTTTATTATAACTTCTTGCATGCTCGCCTCTCCCACTATATCAGAAACTCCAAACGACAGAAGCCACGTCTTTCTCCCTTGAAAGCATGAGTATCTGCTATTTAGAAGGCATTCAAATAATAATCCCAAGGGAATGATTTGGTCTACGCGTGCTGTCCACCAAACCGGAGGTCAGCAAACTGTGGCCTGCAGCCCAAATCCAGCCTGTAGCCAGATTTTGTCAAGTGACCTGAATGGATTACAAGGACACGAGACAGAGACCGGAGGTGGCCCCACAAAGCCTGAAGTATTTACTGTCTGATCCTTAACAGAAAAAGTTTACTGACTCCTACACTGAACATAAGGACATCACCTAGCTGTGGCTTCAGCTTACCCAGAAATTTTCCCAAGGGCTCAGGAACAGTTGGGACCACAGATCCAGCCCAGACAGCCCTAATGGAACCAGAGCCATCCACACTCCAAAAGGAGGCAGTTTAGGATTTGAGAAGCATCTGCTAGTACCTCGGATTTTACAGATTTCTCCATAAACCATTATAAATTGAGTCTACCATTTAAAAAATATTATCTCAGAGGAAGGAGGACTGCCTTCAGTTGTCCATGGCGACAAGCCACCACAAAAACCCTGGTGGAAAGTTTTTGAAAGACAGAGGAAATGCGTCCGCAGCAGGAGCATGGGAATGCAACTCTGCCCAGACACTGTGGGACGAATTCTGGAAATCTGCCCAAATGAGAAGCCCAAAGTGCAGTGTGCAGGGGATTTCACACGGAATACAAGCGATACCCAAACTGGTCTGAATTGTGTCTTAGGGTCAGGTAGTTTTATTCTTCTTCACAGGGGAAACCTTGGAAAACGAGCCCTTTCAGACTTGCCTAGCCTTGTGTTTTTATTGCTTCCTTATTACCCCTTTGTATAAGTCAAACTTTTCTCTGATAATGACTGCATCTTCCTAAAAGCTTCTTCTGAGTTATTTTCGAAGAAGCTGGATCCATCTTAATATTTTCCTGCCATAATTGCCTCAGGCCAATTTCTTCTAAAGGAATTAAAAATGCAAATCTAATATTCTAATTGCATAATAGGATCATCTTGGCAGCTCAATCAATACTATCTCCCACTGTCAATAATAAGGCTGGGCTGCACGGATGTCAGAGCCCACCAGTCTCACTTTATCACTGGCCCCGTGGCCCATCCACATCTATAAGATGTGACATCTTATCCGTGGCCTTCTATCAATCAGCTTTAATTTGTGCATCACAGAGATGCACATTGTCATCTTCACATCCACGTTGCCTTGGGCACCAGACAGCCCAGAGTTGAAGCTTTCACATTTCCAAGGACTAAGTTAAATGGCAGAAAGAGCGTGGATGACAACCACATGTAGGATTTTTTTTTTCCTGGACACCATCCAATGGAATTGGAAGCATGGACCTACAACGGGTCACCCCAAAGATCCCAGACCTGTCATTGCAGCTATAGATCATTGCAAATGGCACAGGCCTGGAGTCGGGAGACCCTGCTGTGAGCTCCAGCTCGGCCATCCCCCAGTGGGTCCACTTGAGCAAGTCACTTAGCTTCTAGGTGTCTCAGTTTCCCCTTCTATAACAGAAGGGTGTTAACTTAGCTTGAATGCTCAAGTCCCTTCCAGCCTAAAACTTATTTTACTTCTAGAAGAGTAAAGATCGTACTCTGTGCAGCAAGGATGAAGACTGTCAGTTTGATTGAAATAACAGACATTGTTGCTACTTCTGGGCAATTTGCCAATTAACAGTAGCAACACTGTAATTAACACCTATCATGCAAATTCTATTTCCATTGAGAAATGCTTTTCCAATAGATATCCCTCACCCTTTCAATATTCTCTCTCTAGCTGAAATTTTTTTTTCCAGGTTTCAAATACCTGGATCTATTTGATCCAAAACCTCATCATTCAATTTATCCATTTCAACCAGCAAAGAACACTGATGCAAACTATATCAACAGTCTTAAATTTCCTTAAGTAGAAATAAGCAATTGGGGTGTACCTTAGGTTTCTATTAAATCCGATTTTAGGGTAAGCTCATTTTGAATTGACAATCGGGCCAAAGATTTTTAGATTCTTTGAGGAACATCTTTCTGAAATTATGAGAGCACACAGTGAAATTCAAAGTAGTTTATTTGGCTTTCTAGAAATGTATTCTGTGGGTATCTGTGAGTATCTCATGCAATTAGAGTTAAATTCTTTATATGGTTCTTTGTAGTTTATTCAATTAACAACTATCAACTCTATGCTGGGCTTGTGTAAGGAGCTTTCACACATATTTCTTTATCTGGTGCTTAAAGTGACCCAGGGGTTACATAAGATTGGCATCATTTTCCCCAGAGGAGTAAACCAAGGCTGGGGGACAGTAAGAGATCCCCAGGAATTATCAGGAGACCTGAACGTGACAGAAGATGTAAAGATTATTCAAGAAATCAGGAAAAAAAGGAAAGAGTCCTCAGACTTAAGGCAGGCAAAGGGTTCCATTTTCAAAAGGGCTGGCAGAGGGATTCAAGATAAGGAGGTAGAGCATGGAGAGGAAGGAATATTCTGTGAAAAACAGGCCAGTGAGCTTAATATTGATCCCTGGCAGAACATGAGAACGAATCATTATGGGTTGATCTGTGAGCTCGGGGACAAACAGTGACTGCCAAGAGGCTGGCCGCTCTAAAGACAAGTCACCCCAATCTAATCTCGTTTCCTCTCCTGATAGGGTTATTAGGCTGGTTGATCAGTGGATCTGGATTTCAGCAAGGCACTTGACAGAGTTGCACAGGATATTCTTGTGGACAAGAGGGAGAAATGGGAGTGGGATTGGAGTACAGCTAAGTGAATTTGTAGCTGGCCAGACAAGCGTATCCAAAGTGTTGATTAATAGAGTGATGTCCACCTAGAGAGAGGACCATGGCCGTGCGCTCCAGGGCTTTGTTTTTGGCCCTGATGTGTTCAGCAAGCTCATCAGTGTCTTGAGCAGTATTATAGGAGGCATGCTTATTAGAACATTGACTGACATGAATGTGGGAGGGATGCTAATACATTAAACAAAAGAATCAGGATCCGAAATGTTATCCTGCTAGACCAACGGCCCCAAAACCATCAAGAAGAAATGTAATAGGAATGGATGTAAAGTGATTTAATGTATTCCAAAATGAGGAATAGAGAGTCTAAGAATCTTGGCTTAGGAGCAGTTCAGGGAGAGAGGACCTGGCCCCATGCATGCTGGGCTTCCATGATTTTCTGTAGCCAAAAACAAACCCAAGGGATTTTGGACTGCCTTAGTCGACACTCGGGGTCCCCACCAAAAGTAGTTCTGATCCTGCGACGTGGTGGGCTGGGAGAGACCCAGGTTCAGGTCAGGCACTGCATTTTAGGACATAAGAGACAATTCACTGGAGGGGGACAATACCAATGACAGATGTAGCTACCACACTAGGTGACAAATGATATTTACCCAAGGAAAGGCAAGGATGGCCATCTCCTAATATCTGGAGAGTGACACAGAAGGAATGAGAAACACAGTCTCCACTGCTCCATGAGGACAAAGGGACTTACAGAAGCTCAGAGAGTTTCAGGGCATGGACGTTGTCCCATGAGTGATAGAGTTCCCAACGTTGAGTTATAGGCTTGGCTGGTGGAAGAACTCTTCGTTTCCAGAGTGAGAAATTGCTCTGTGTGGTCCCACAGGGCAAAATTTTTGGTCTGTGGCAATGTGTTGACGATTGAATTGCCATACACATGGCCTGCTGGTTAAATCCATCAGGTAAGCACTAGCCAGTTTTTACTTCAAGGTTCCTTGTGTACGTCGGGAAGGTGTGACCGAAAAATAAAAATGAGCATGACACGTGGCTTTCTCTGGAGGAGCTGAAAATCTAAAGTAAGTAATTGACTAAGAGGCAAATTAAATCGATTGTAATAGAGGCACAAAGCAAGAACTGCAGGATGAAGAGAGGGTGACATTTAACTTTAAGTTGGGTTGGAGGCCATTCAAAGAAAGCTTTGCAGAACAGATAGCATTTGATCTCAGTGGATGCTGGGGCTCCGGCCCAGGCCACAATGCCAGTGACATTCTAAAGGTTCCCATTCCTGCAACTTTCCCCATATTGACCCTTTTGAAATTCCATCTTCTCTGTGCAGTTTCTTTGACGAGTTGTTGTTCTTTGCCCACACTTCGCACTTCACAGTTTAGTTCTCCTTGACTTGCTGACTTCCTCGTCACCTCACTGTTATGAGGGACCTGCCTTCCACCCATTTTCACATCAGACAGAATCCTGGATCAGGAGTGGCATTCCCCTACTTTTGCCATGTAAGGTGACCTGATCCCAGGAGCGTCCCTTCATCATCTTTGTATTCTGTTGTTCGGAGTAGTCAGAGGTCCCTCCCAGGTTCAAGAAGAGGCGGTTACACCAGGTGGGCATATGAGGGCCACCCAAAGGTCTGTCTGCTGCAAGTGCTGAACAAGAATCAACAGTCACCTGGAGCAAGGAGGTGAAAAGACGGGGCAAGGGCAAAGCTGGACGGGCGGTTCAGAGCTGGGCTCCTGGCTCCCTGGGGAAGCCTTTAGGCAAGCCCTTACTTTCTATCCACACTTGCACAGACAAATGGCTTGTTATCCTATGAGTATAACGGGGGGTTGGGGGCAGTTTAGGTACCAGGTCACCTCTGGAGTCACCTCTGAAGACTTAGTTATTTATTGGGAACTAAAAAGCCAGCAAATACTTTCAGGGCATGAACGAATTTCCAACACAGCAGGTGAGACGAGGCTGCTCTCAGCCAGCCATCTTGGGTTCTTACCGTTCTCAGTTCTGGATGCCCCTGCGCCCTGGAGGGCACCAACCCACCTGGCAGTGGTGGCTGACACAGCTGGATTTACAGGGCTTGGCCATCACACAGGCCCCCTGCCCATGCCTAAGTGACATTATCCCCCAAGCTGTGTGTTTACATCCGGGAATTCCCAGACTTTACCAGCTGCCCAGATGGAACGTTTCCTTTGCAGTAGTTTTTACTCCACGGAGCGCTCAGAGCTGGAGTGCTGGAGCCATCCCCTCAGCTTTCTCATGATGGAAGGTGTCACCTCCCCTGAGAACTGACCATTTAGAAATTGATTGCCATAATGTTTCATTCTACAATGAAGATTCTGTTCTCTTTGTTTCTTCTTCTTAAGACCTGCCCCTGGAGATCTCAGAGGAAGACTGATTGGTATTTTCTCCTTCTGTCAAGTGGTATGAAAACTGTGTAGGAGATCATCATGAAGCACTTCCAATCCAAGCCATTTGCTCCATCCAGGCATGGCGCCCTCCTTGGGGAGATGGTGTTTCCAATGGTATGTAACTGCCATAAGTCTGATGCCTTTCGGGAATTGACTAGTGCTAAGAATGGCTCTGTGGTAGAGTGAAAAATGGCCACAGTCCTTGGATCTTTGAGAGAGTCACTTCCCTTCAAGAAGTGTAACCTACTTCTCCATACCTCGAATTCGAGTTGTTGTTATGACTTAATTAAGGCAAAAGAATGAAGTGGAAAGGACAGTCTGAAAATCTGGGGCCCAGTCATCAAGAGGCCTTGCATTAATTCCACGTCTTGTAATCCTGCAAAGAGCAAGCCCAGGCCAGCCTGCAGGAGGATGAGAGACAACTTGCAAGAGAAGCTCGTTGTCCCATCTGACACCATCTTCAACTGGCCAGGCTCTGGTCAACCCAGCCACTGACTGCAGACTGAGTGAACCTGGAACCAAGCAGACACAAGAAAAACTGTCCCGCTAAGAGCCCAGACCAAGCCACAGACACCTGAGTGAGACAATTGGCTATTATTTGCACCTATTTCATTTTGGGGTAGTTTGTTATGCAGTAAAAACTAACTGATACAGATTCCATAGTTTATCAGCATAAACATCAGCGTTCCCAGTTTGAAAGAACCCATCTCCTGGCTCATTCTCAAACACCCAGGAGGCTGGTGACGTCCCTGCTCCTTCTGCCATGGAGTGTTTTGAAACCATTTTCTTGGGCCACCAGGACCTAACATTGAAACGAAGGAAAAAACCTTGGTGGGGGGGATGGGTGGAGCTGCCATATGTTTTCCTTTCACAAAAGCCCTTGCAAAGCATATTTCTTTATTTCAGCCTTGGATGATTGCCTTCAATTCTTTGTTTCATAAGCTTCTATTCTTCCAAAGAGCCATGACAGCATTGATTTCAACCTATGATTACTGGTGAAATATTAAACCTTATTGATTTGAAATTCAGGATTAGTTGCAAGTTGGATACTCTGCATATTCTGAAGATGGACAATTTTATTTCTTCTAGTTGAAAAGTAATTGCAGCTCCACAATATGATTTTTGGGGAGATATAGCACGTCAAGCCAGCTTTCTCATTTTGTCTGCCCCCAAAGTTTCTAGGCTAGGAAAACCTTAGCTATTCCTAGCCATTTTCTCATGAGAAGTATTTTTGAAACTTAGTTCATACCCTTGCCCCCCAAACTGATAAATAATCCCTTCTAGGTGTCAGTGGCTACTAAAATTAATTATTCAAAATAAATCATGCATTATATACAAGATTTAAAATGAAAATTATATTTACTATTTTTTGATCACTTGGGGAAAATATTGAGGCCCAATTCCACTTAAATTAGATACTTTATTGCAAATGATGTCTATTTATTAGCAAACATTGATATATGATACTGCCTTTTTAATGGATACACATGAGTACATTTTTTAAAAGTAATCAAAATAAAAACATAGCAAATGAACTCTCAGTCACTCCTAGTATGTTGACATCTCGTTCATTCTATAACATTTGGTCATACGTTACCCAGAAATGCTACTGAAAGTAGCTAATAATTAGCTATTACAGAATGAAAGTATGGCCTCAGGAGACAAAAAATACCCACAAAAAAATTTTTTTAATTGTTTGGGGACTTTTGAAATACCTTCACCGTCACTGTGTAAGGTGCCCAATGGCAAGAAGCTCACGTATTTTCTTCCCTGAGATGCACCTCTCAGCAGAGTGACAGGCAGAGAGTAGGTCCTCAAGACACATTATAGTTGAAAACATTCGGCCATGAATAGTAGACATCTCTTTAATCTGAGCATCTGAGTTTGGGCATTTAAAAGAAACCTATCTGACAAGTATATAATCAATATTTCTGATGGGAACTCAGGCTTGCTTTTATATTTTAGTGCCTCGTTACGTTTTTCAACTTTTAAAAATTAATACATCAGGGCTTATTGATACCTTATATATCCTACCATCAATCATAATACAAGACTAGTTTAAATGCTGGGAACCTAAAATAATCCACGTTCCAACTAATTCATTCAGAAATTCCTGAGGTTGGGGGAAATGAATAAAAGCACAAATAGTTACTTTCTCACCCATTTGCAGGGCTTCACAGAGAGTTCTTCTGAACTCATGCTGCCCTTGGTCTTTCCCTTTAGGACAAACCCGGCTGGACCGCTGATCATCTTCTCTTCATCTATCAGTCAGGATGGCCTGTGTCCAGTGGGGCTCCTACAACCTGAAACTTCCATCAACTTTCACCAGAAAGGGACTCTGGCCAACTCCAGTGAAGTGTGGGATCCTAGGAAAAAGAAACCGAAGGAACTCACAGAATCAGGGGTTGAACAAGGAACATGAAAAGACAGGCCCTGGTACCAGCCCTGGTACCCCAGGGGAAGCCCTGGGACTTTCTCTGAGGCACGGAGGTAAGATGACTCGGCTCTGACAGGCCTTCTGTTGAAGCATGTGGCACCTTTCCACATTCTTTTTTTTTTAAGATTTTATTTATTTAGTGGCGCCTGGGTGGCTCAGTAGTTAAGTGTCTGCCTTCGGCTCAGGTAATGAGATCGAGCCCCGCATCGGGCTCCCTGCTCAGCAGGAAGCCTGTTTCTCCCTCTCCCACTTCCCCTGCTTGTGTTCCCTCTCTCACTGTCTCTCTCTCTCTGTCAAATAAATAAATAAAATCTTAAAAAGAAAAAAAGGTTTTATTTATTTATTTGAGAGACAGAGCACGAGCCGGGGACGTGGGGAGGGGTAGAGGGAGAAGCAGACTCCCTGCTGAACATCAGGACTCGATCCCAGAACCCTGGGATCATGACCTGAGCCGAAGGCAGACACTTAATCAACTGAGCCACCCAGACGCCCAACCTTTTCACATTCTTAAGAGAACCAGACAGCCATCAACTTATAGCCACCACAGGGTCACATGTCCACAGGGACCTTCCCAGTGAGAAAGAGCTCAGGGAAGAAATCTCAGCATGCACAACTCACATTATCCCTAGAAGAAGGTGCTAGAAAAATGAGCCCAAGTTGCCTGTCAGCAGAGTAAAACAGGTGCTGACTCTATGGAAGGCGTACTTCATCAAGAGGCCAACTTTACCACCAGGAAACCAGAGTGCAGAGTTCCAGCACCTCTAGCTGAAAATGCTGTCATACTAGGGTCAAGAGCAAAGACTCCAGGCAAAAGCCTGGGCTCTGTCCCACCTTCCCTCTTTTCTAACCATGTTGCTTTGGCAAAATAACCATCCCTGTGAGCCTGTGTTTTCATCCATAAAATGGGCTTAATAATACAACCTACCTCAAAGTGCTCAGGTGAGATTCACCAGGTGGGTACCTGAAAAGCACTGAGGACAGGGTCTGAAACACAGCAATCACCCCACAAGTTTTGCTGTCGTGGTTTTATCGTAGCTCTTTCTGCCTTGTCTTCTCTCTCTCAACTTTAAGTTTCTGAACAGGGAAAAAAAAAAAAAAAAGGAAAGAAAAGAAAAGAAAAAGAAAAAAGCCCAACGATTCTCCTTCCCCAAGCCCTCAGTGTGGTGCTCAGCAGAAGTTAGATGCGTCAAGAGTTGTGGTCAAAGTTGTGGAATCATTTACTTTCTTGTGGCATTTTGATACAGTTCAGAATTATTGATCTTGGTTTCTGGGAACAATATGGTTACATATTAGATACTTTCAGACCAAATTTTGTTTTCTCCTACAAACAGGAGGTAAAGGGTCACAGCTTCCCAGGCTTGCCACACAGGAATGATCAGCTGGGACCTGGGAGTCGGGTTCCAGTCCCACCTCTGCCGGCCACCAACAAGCTGAGGGATTGTTAAAAATATATCACCTTGGGGCGCCTGGGTGGCTCAGTTGGTTAAGCAACTGCCTTCGGCTCAGGTCGTGGTCCCGGGGTCCTGGGATCGAGCCCCGCATCGGGCTTCCTGCTCAGTGGGGAGCCTGCTTCTCCCTCTCCCTCTGCCTGCCTCTCTGCCTACTTGTTCTCTCTATCTCTCTGTCAAATAAATAAATAAAATCTTTAAAAATATATATATTTTATATATATATATATCACCTTGCCCGCACAGACCCGGGCTCTCCCATCTGGGCAGTGAGAAGGGCTCCCCCTACGGGGTTATAGGGTTAGTAATGACAGCAATAGCAACCTCACCTCTAGTGTGTGCCAGGCATGAGTTGGAGTGCTCTGGAATCACCCACCCCCTCAGTCCTCATGAGGGAGCACTCTCGTCATCCCCATTCTACAGCTGGGGAAACTGAGGCACAGGGACCCGACAGCTCGTTAAGTGGTAGACTCAGCATCTGGCTCTAGAGCCTGTCTTCCCAACCATCACCCAGTCCTGCCACTTCCAAGTTCATTAAGTTCATTAAGAAATACTTAACGTGGGACTCCTGGGTGGCTCAGTTGGTGAAGCGTCTGACTCTTGATTTCAGCTCAGGTCGTGATCAGGCCCCATGTTGGGCTCTGCACTCAGCGGGAAGTGTGCTTGAGATTCTCCCTCTCCGGCTGCCCCTCCTCCCCAGTAAATATAAATCTTAAAAAAGAAAAAAAAAGAAATACTGAATGTGCCTCCCCGAGAGCTCAGTGTGTGTTGGACCCAGTGATCATCGGGGCTCTGTGACATCACTACCATAGGGCCTTGGCTCTTCCTTCAAGAAGCAAGTCATTGTCCTCTCTTTCCCAAACCTTCCTGAGTCTTGGTGTCGGCAGCTATCACTCCTCCTTCCGCACGCATTTCCATGCTGGGGCTGGTGTGGCGGTCACAGCGTCCTGAGCTGGTTCCTGTCACTTTATATGAATTGCCTCATCTCCCCAGCCATAGGACGGGCCTCTGACATCAGAGACTGTGTCTTCCTCCATCCTGGCACCCCCTGCTGGAGCACACAGAGCATCACACCTATGCTGCCTCCCGTCTGACGTCATCTATTGATTTAGCTGAGAGGACGGGGGAGGGGGAGAGAGGGAGGCCGCGGGGCTCCCAGGGGCTAGCAGCACGGTGAACCAAGACTGGCACCAGACGAGGGCCACAGCTCCTCACGGAAGTCCGGACACAACCGGGACAAGGAGGGAGGACAGTCCAGGCTTTTTTTTTTTTTTTTTTTTAAGATTTTATTTCTTTATTTGACAGAGAGAGAGCACAAGCAGGGGGAGAGGCAGAGGCAGAGGGAGAAGCAGACTCCCCACTGAGCAGGGAGCCTGACATGGGGCTTGATCCCAGGACCCTGGAATCATGACCCAAGCCGAAGGCAGCCGCTTAACCGACTGAGCCACCCAGGCGCCCCAGTCCAGGCTTATTTCGACAGCAGGCTGGAAGAACCTGACACTAGACAGACGCCAAGTTGCCGCAGGAACTTCCTGAAGGACCCTTCACCCAGAGCCTCACACGACTTGCCCTGGGGGCCAATGCATCATTCACAATGCCATTTCCATGTTCACCTTTTTGAAATATTAATGGACCAGGCTGGCCTTTGTTCTGCTGACCATGGACACAGTACCTGTCCCTAGAGGAGGCAGAGAAGATGGACTCAGAGCCCGGGATTGAAATTCCATCGAGTCTTTGGGTCAATGGAAATCCTTTATGCTGTGACTGACATGGGCCCACTCCTTCCCTTCACTTTAATTCCAGAGGCTTCGAGCGAGTTTTGCTCACGGGACAGAATGCCATCTCCGTTCTAACCTCAAACACTGTGGTGAGGAGACAGAGGCTTGCAGCAGAATCAAGGGTCTGCAAGGAACAGCCCCCTCGCTGTTGGCAGGTATAGGGACAACCGTCACATATGGATCCCAATGGCTGTCAGCCCTGCAACCCAAGAGAAAAGTCCATTTCGGGAGTGATTTATCTCGGGAGTGCACACATGAAAGAGGCTTAGATTTTTTTGCACTTTTGATTTGAGACTGTGTCTGCAGCCGATTGTATCAGAAACATTCCTGACCCACCTAGGGACGTGTCTCTATGTCAACATTGTCTGGCAACGGCCGTCAGACCCCTGCTCAACAAGGCTCTCAAGGAGAAGAGAGAGAGAGGAGAGGAGATGTGTGCTAGCAGAAGCTCCAGAAGCCTGGTGGTTCAGGAAGAAAAGCCAGGTTGCAAAGACAGAGCTGGAAAGTGGGATACAGCTGCATAAGCGGTGGCCAAAAAGCCTGGAAACCCCAGGGAAGGGAGGCAGGCTCCGGGCACCGGGTTGCACAGTGGTGGCCACAAATGTGCATCCACCTCTCAAGCATTCCATAGTTTGCCTGCATCCTGTCTAGTGACCAACACTGTCTATTGCCGTAGACTCTGTGATGAAAGGCCATCTTGTGCATCCAAAGCCGACACACACAGTGGCAGGCGCCCATCCATATCCCTTTGCCCCTCCCTATAAGGGCACTCCAGCCCAACTTCCAGCTCCCAGCAGCTGCATTTACTTGCCTGAAGGTTTTCTGTGGCCACCAGAGCCTGACCTCCCCGTAGACATTGCCTGTTGAAATGGACAGAAAATTAATGCCCCCGGGAGCAGCCTCCCCCCACTGACTGACTGATGGGTATTGGTGAAACAGGCACCACAAGGTGGGAGCAGTCTGACGTTCAACACTGTTTCCTAGAGTTCCCCAAGGTATTACATGCTAGTTTTCCACAAAAATAACTTGCTGGACTTGAATCCTTGTCTCAGAATCTGCTTCTAAGGAGACCTAAACTTGGGTATGTGTTACAAACACTTGCACACACGCACGCACGCACACACACTACTATTCACATAAGGGTTTAAATTGTACAACACTCCGGTTACATTATTTGTTTTTCACATCAATTTTGTTGCTGCTCTTAATTCATTTTAGAAAGTAGGGAACTGAGTCTAGAGAAGCAAATAGATCACCCAGAGTCAAATATCAGGCTGAAAACCACTTCTAGCTGTTTCCAATGCCTTTGATTTTTCCACGGCACAGTGCTGCCCCAATGGAGGGGACAACCAAGGACAGAATTCCAGAAAGCTCACTTATGGTCAATGTGTCTCTTGGTAAAATCTAAAATTGGTATAAGGCTGAGCCAACACTACTATCATTGGGGTGAATCAGTTCCTACCCATCCCCAGCAAGGCTTCCGCCATCATCTATTGGCACATGTTACAAAGAATAATGTTCAATAAATACATGGTGGATAGATGGATGGAAAATAGATGATGGGTGGTGGATGGACAGATGGGTGGATGGATGGATGGATGGATGGATGAACATATAGCCATTATCAGTCCACAATGAATGTCTAAATCTCTTGCATTCTGAGCAAGAACAAGGGTGGAGTTACAACTTATTAAATATGATTTGCATGTAACCTATTGCCTAGTTTCTGTCCCGGCACCAAGGACATCTGAGAGGATGTGTATAAGAATGTCATCTATGGGGAGTATCAGCAAAAAAAGTTTGAGAAAAACAAGTTTCAGTCATTTGCTGGAAGCTGGGGTGAAACCAACTTTGCACCTGAAGCAGTGGTTCTTATGCCTACGTGAGAACAAAAACCACCTGGCAAACTTGTTAGAAATGCTGAAGGGGCGTCTGGGTGGCTCAATCGTTAAGCGTCTGCCTTCGGCTCAGGTCATGATCTCAGGGTCCTGGGATCGAGCCCCACATCGGGCTCCCTGCTCGGTGGGAAGCCTGCTTCTTCCTCTCCCACTCCCCCTGCTTGTGCTCCCTCTCTCGCTGTGTCTCTCTCTGTCAAATAAATAAAATATTAAAAAAAAAAAAGAAGAAATGCTGAAATCCAAGGCTCTAATTTAATAAGAATCCAGGATCATGTATATCCTCACAATCCCTGTGATGTCCTGGGCTGGAATGAAGGGAGCCCTTTCACAGAGACCTCTTCTTCCCTTTAGTTTATTGTCAGGGTTTGCCTTAAAGTATCAGCATCACAAATACATATGTGACTTGTAGAGGGAGTCACAAGTGGGATATAAAAGGCCAACTATTCCCACCCTGGGTATTCACTGAAAGTGGCCAGGAGAAACACAGAAGCAGTATCTAAGGGTGAGAGGGGAGATTAGGGGCCAGGAAATGCAACCCCAGATCCAGTATATCAGTCCCTCATAATGCTGCCAACAGAAAGTGGTCTAGCTTTTGCTTGAACACTTCCTGTGTTAGGAGGCTGTCTACCTTCTGAAACTGTCCATTTATTTTTTAACTGTTTGATTCCAAAGTTCTTAGTGGTTCCAGTGGTGTTTACTGAGGCCCCACAAAGATTAGGTCCAATCCCTGTGCACCATGACAGCTCATGGAATATTTAGGGACAAATGGAATGTCTGTTCTAAGATAAGCACCACCCTTATCCCTTAAGGATCCATGTGATAGAATATGATAACTTTTAACACCTGGGTGAAGCCCTCTGGACCTCCCTTTGAATTCAGCCTTCCAGCTGTGGTCTGATAAGCACAAGGAGAGAGGGTCTACCACACCCCTTATTATGGACACTCTACCTCCATTATTGCCTTCTGAAATCACATTAGCTGATCTAGCAGCCACATCCTATTGAGCCAAAACTCAATTAAAACCCCAAAGTCTTTTTTCACTGAGAACCTCTCCATGTGTGGCCATTGATCCGGTTATCAGCACTCTCTTGAGTAAAGCTGTTCAACCATGTTGTGAATCAGAATCTAACTACTTGGCCCGTGCTTCCACATCTCTCCGTCGGCTCCACATGGGAGGAGGCTCACTGCTTCTTTATCCTTCCTCTGTTCACTGGATCTGGGTAGAGTGATCAAAATCAACTGTTCTGCCCCTGCTTCCTGGAGGCACACCGTCATGACACTAGAGGAGACTTTGGGTCTGGGATCTGATCGTATCTGCAGAAAGACACAACAGGTATCACTGCATTTCCAAAGCATGAAATGAAGTGCTCTTGTCATGAAAAATTCTCTTTTCCCACGATGATACTGGAAAATAGGACAACACGGGGCTCTTTCAGAGTATCCAAGGAATGAGGGAACTTGTGTCCAAGCTGAGACTCTGCTGTTTTAAGAAAAGGGTTTAATCCACTTTTATTTATTCTAATAGCTGATCATTCATTTGGATCTATTTTAGTATCTCCCGAATCCTGTCCTCCTATCGCCCATCATATTGTTGTTCAATATTGTAATTCCTTCTCATTTGAAATAGCCCCTCACATACCATTCATATTATTCTTATGGTAGATTCACAAAATGTTTTTACCAGTTTCTTGCCCTTGTTTCTTGCTGCCCACAGATTCCTTATAGCTTCCTTTCCTTTTTCAGTACAGCATTATTTTATTTTCTCTTTCAGGTAGACTCTAAGAGACTTGGTTTTTTCTCAAATCTACCCTGCTTTTCTCTCATTGGTCATTATAAAATCTATTCCTCACTTTTCTCTTTGAGCATCTAAATCAGGCTTATTTTCAAATTCTTTAGACATTTATCTGCCATTCTTTGTGAGTGCTTCCATTTTTGCATCTGTTGACCCTCACTCCAGGGGTAAATGTCTCTGTGCATTCTGTAACCCTTTTAGTTGCTCAGGAGAAATCAGAACATACAAATGTGCACGGTATGTTAGATGGAAGCTTGTCTTTGGCATATGTTGGCTTCTGAGGGAATGCCGCCTGTATACCCCAGCTGATGGAGGTGACCCTTGATGACAGTGCACATTTGGCTCCTGCAGACCTTGTGGAGTTCCAGGTTGTTTTTTATATTGGTTTCTGTGGTCGATTTATTTTTAATGGGATTTCTTGACTTGTGATCTGGCTGATTTCCCTCAAGCAACTCTTTCTACCCAAAGTCCAGAACACAAAGTCCATCTCTGGGACTGGTGGTTGGAGCTTTTGACCATTATTATTTCAGTAAGGATGGTCCTTCTCACTGGGAGTTCAGTCTCACCTTGTCTACCAAGGATCTTGACACCCGGACTCACTCCCGGTGCCCTGCTACATAACCCAGGCTCATGGCAGGCCCACGTCTAGTGTCCCCAGGCTACCTTCTGCTGCAATCTGGCTTCTAATTTCTGGCACCTGGAGAACTCACTTTCCAGCTCTTGAACTCACCTATGGATTTTTGTGTTACGGTTATTTTTGGAGTACAAGGGAGGACTTCTGCAACTACCTCAGTTGGTGA